CCCTGGAGGAGGGCGGGGCTCCACAAACCACCCTGGAGGAGGGCGGGGCTCCACAAACCACCCTGCAAGGAAACACAACGCAAACGTGCTTCCACAGCAACGCGCGCACTGGCGCTGTATGCACACTGACCCTCATTAAGATCACAGGTGAGGTGAGCCAAGCTCAGAGACACAAACGCAGCATGCTTCCTCTACAGGCAGAAGCTACACCTGACACACACCAGGACATGGTCAGTGATGCAGAACTCAGCATTCACGCACAGCAGAATCAGAGGATGTTCTTCGGAGAGGAATACAGAGTTGGGATGCCTATGTTGTGTCCCATCATATAAAATGATACTTATTGTGATGAAAATAATTACAGGTGGGCCCTTGCCTGTGGAAGGTCAGGTGAGAAGCAGCACTCCAGTGCCATGCAGGTGACAGGTGGTTGGAGAGCGGACCCGTCGCCCGTCCCTCCTGCCCGGCTGGCGATGCTGACACGGCCGCAGAGGAGGCTTTGCACACGGCCCCACGGTGCTGGATGGCCGTCAAGTCCATCAGCTGCTGCTTGGGAAGCAGAGCCCCTGGGGAGAGCCCGGGGGCCCCTCAAGGTCCCTTCCACAACCAGGAGACATTCCACCAGCAGTTACCGCGGCCCTGAGGTTCCCACAGACCTACAACGCACAGGTTCAGGGAGCCGCCTCTGTCTGGGCCTGGGCGTGACAGGGAGGGCAACTCTCCGACCCACAGCCGTGCGGCGCTGGCGACCCTGAGGCTGGGTCCCAACCCCTGGGGTGATGGGGTCCCCGCTGCCCCCAGCCACAGAGACCCGTGTGAGAGGGCAGGGCCCTTCCACAGCCCCCCCTGGGGCTTAGGAACCTGCCGACTCAGATCAGGAAAAGGGCCAGGAGGACGGGCCCCTGTTGAGGACAAAGGGCCTTGTTCCGACACACCTGTCCTCCCACGGCTTGCGAGTCCTTTCAGGTAATCTGCACTCCTGACGACACACGGGCCCTGCCGACAACCCCGTGCTGCCCAGGGGGAGCTGCGAGGGACAGGGGACCACAGACCAGCACCGAGCGGGCACCCGCTGAAGACGCCAGCCATTTCCGAAAGCTTCGGTCACGAATGTGAGCGTTTGAAGGCCACACAGGACCAGGCACTCAGTGAGGTTTCCTCACAAAGAACGGCCTCCCAGGCCCACCGTGAGAAGCGAGTCCAGACTCGGCTCCCTGAGTCTCCGGGCAGGCGGCAGTGGGAGGCTGGGGACCCCAGGGCTGGACATAGCTCGGCCAGCACTCCCTCTCGCTGTGAACGTGGAGTCCCACCAGCATGCGTGCACGCCAAGAGTGCTTCTACGAGAAAGCTGACTTTAAAATACTGGCTGAAACACACGTAAGCCAGCCTGTCCCTGCCGCCTCCACAGCCTGAGAGACCACAGCCTCTCACGAGGCCGACCCACGGCAGCCAGGTTCCCAGCGCCCGGACCACCCGAGGAGAAAGCTTAAAGTGAGATCAGACTCGCAGCAAAGGAGAGAGTCCGCAGCTCTTACAGCTGTCATGGCTGCTGAAGGCTGGCCAGGCCACCCAAGGGCAGCAGCAGAGGCCCCTTCTGCCTGCCACGCAGCACCTGCTTCTCAGCCCGGTCTGAGTTCCACCTGTCAGCTCACCTGACAGCTCAGCTCTTGTTTTGTGCTTAAACCCAGGGTCTTATGCTCTCACGTGCCTTCCCACTCAAAGACGGCGCTCTACCACTTGAGCCTCACCTCTACTTCTGGCTTTCTGCTGGTTAATTTGAGAGTCTCATGGACTCTTCTGCCCAGGCTGGCTTCATACCTTGATCCTCAGATCTCAGCCTCCTGAGTAGCCAGGATGACCGACATGAGCCACCAATGCCTGGCCGACAGTTTAATAATGAAACAACTGCAGACAGCAAGTCCACCCCAGCCTGCTGACTCTGACCATGACTGAGCTGCCCCCAAAACCAGCCTGGCCTGGGCCACCACCAGAGGCCCCCAGTAGCTCTTTCCCTCCAGGACCAGGTACGACCTCTGCTGCCTGTGGGTGATCCGTGCCAGAGATCTTCCCTGGCCCTAAAGCAGTCCCAGACACCAGCCCCCGGGACTCTGAGGGTGTGGACCCCTGTCCCATCTGGATGCGGGGGGGGGGGGAAGCAGTCCTCGGGGGCTGCTCCAAAGGAGCCTTCCCTGGTCTCTGCAGAGTCAAGCTGGTTTCACGGCGCGCCATTCTTCACTTTGCCAACACAGGGCACTATGTGTAACAGTGACAGCATGTGCTGTCTGCCGCCCACCGGCGCTGGCCCTGCCCAGCTATGTGGCCTTGGGTCACTGATTTCCTCTGCCTGGAAGCGGGGACACGGGACTGCCAGGGATGGTACCCGTAGCACACCGAGGGGGCCAGTGCAGGCCAGCTCTGGCACGGGCACGGTGGAGCGAGCCCCAGCCCGCCCTGACCCTGACGCTTGCCGACTTAGGATACCAACAATCAAGAGTCCACAGCGCCCTCAGGAGATGCTGGACAGGACAGGCAGGCTGGCTGGTCCCGGCGGCCCGGGGGCAGAGCGCATGCCCAGCCCAGGGCTCCTTCCTACCCTGACCTTTGACCATCGCTAGGCACAAATCTTCAGAAAGTCATGCCCTAAGATATTTCAAACTGTGCTGCGCTCTTGGAGGGAATTCAATTGTCAGAGAGACCATGGTTTAATCCACCTTTTGAAACCAGTGGTCCATGGGGACTGACGAACGACCACAGCAAGCCCAGCGGGCTTGCCTCAGCGCTGGCCGTCTCACTCCCAGCCAGGATGTGCCAAGCCTCTGCCGGCCTCATGCCGGGGCTTGCAGAGCTCCATCCCACTCCCAAATGAGCCTCACGCAGCCTCTATGCTGCAGACAGGTGTAGAGCTGGGAGGCAGGCAGCACAGAAGCAGCTGTGAGCAGCTGTGCACATCTGCCCTGGGAGAGGGCCAAGACACCACACAACAAACATCAAGGGTGAGCCAGTTCACCAACTTTCCCAGGGTCTTAGAACGCAGCAGGAAGCCGGGGTGTGGGGAGGCCTCACCGAGCCCGCAGCAGACACGGAGGGAGGGCACCGCCAGAGCAAAGGCCTGCAGACGGAGGCCAGCGGGGCAGGGGCGGCTGAGGATCAGGGAGGGGCATTGGCGGGAGCCCCAGACTGTAGGGCTTGAGGCAGCTGGGCTGACCGGGCTTCTCCTCCTGGGAGTAACGGGAGCCCCAAGGGCCAACCCACCAGAGCCGAGGCCGCCGGCTCTGCTGGCCTGGGAGGGCGAGAGCAATCCTCCGAGTCCATGCAGCAAACATGGGGAGCCAAATGGATAAATGGAACATAGAGGTAAATCTACAGTTGTATTTAGACTGAATGTCAGCCCGGCTCCAGTGAGCCCAGGAAGCACACAGCAGCCCACGCTGTCTGCTTCCATAGATGCTTTAACTCCTGACTTCACACTTCAGTTAATGTGAGTCTGTGTGAAACTGGGTTGAGGGCACGTCACTGGACCAGTGTGAGGCCCAAATTCAGTCCACAAGCATGGCCGCTGCTGCGCAGGGAGCGCCTGACCCGCTCTGCTGGGCCTGCACTGCCAGACACAAACCCCAAGAGGACAAACTCCCCAATGGCAGCAACGATTTCCCAGACGACCAGACGTGTGGTGTGTGTGTGTGCATGTGTGTGCGTGTACGCATGTGTGTGTGCATGTGCATGCATGTGTGTGTGCGTGTATGTGTGTGCGTGTGTGCATGTGTGTGTGTGTGTGTGTGTGGCAT